CGTTTCTTCTGGACTGCGGCGAAGAACGAGGGCTCTGGCATAATCCAATTTTTGGCGCATGCGCAATTTTTCGGAAGTGAAATATAATCAATATGAAAATCATGCTTTCAAACAGAGTTCTGTGATAACTTACGATCAAAATACAAATTTTAAATCGGGAACATATTTTTTTCATTTTTTTCYCTTTTAACGCATGCGCTCTTATACTGGAAGTCCAAGAAATCCTGGTCTCAAAAAATTGCATAAAGCTCTCTTAAGATAAGAGCATCCGTAAGTATTGTTCCAAAACAATAGGAAATTGTACTAAGACAATACTTACGAGTGTTTTTTAGCTTCTTAATCTTAAGAGAGCTTTATGCAACTGGGCCCTGGCTCTGGGTATAGMTTGTGTTGTTTCAATATATCCTCCGTTATCCTCAGGCCCCACATATGGCCTTATAGTGAATATACTTTACTCAGACTGACCGTTCAGACTGTCGACGCGCATGCGTTATAATAATTTAACGTTGTTTATATATATCCTCTATTATCCTCAGGCTCACCGCCCACATGGCCTTATGGTAAGTATACTCTTCTCAAGCCCAGGACAGGATGTCCTGCAGGATGGGATGACAAGGGATATCTTTACCAAGACACAATAGATACAAACCCAAGTAATAACAGATCACAAACCTTACACATCGATGGAAAAGTTGCTCGCAGTCATGTGAAGAGACATTTTTGCAGCAAGACAAACAAAGACGGTGAAGTTTGGCCATCAGGTCAGTTTATATATAGCAACTAGCAGTGTTTATTTACGTTCTCGTATGCGAAAATTATGAAATAGCCTAAACCACGGTAGGCTAGTATCAGTATCAGGTAAAGATGGATGGGTTGCATACATTCCCAAAAGATAAAAGCATGACCAAGACTTTTTTTGCTTGCAAAGGATGCTAATGATGAGAATGTTTTTTGCTGAATATTATTTGTATGATAGGGAACTTCCTATTCAAAACTTAAACCTCATAACACAGAGTCATTTTGTTTTTCTCACTCAAAGCCCCGACAAAATGTGATACTTGGG